CTGTCTTTTCCCCACTGTATATTCTTGCCTCCCTTGTCATAGATTAATTGATCGTGTAAGTTGGGTTTATTTCTGGGCTCTATTCTGTTCCATTGATCTGTGTGTCTGTTTCTGTGCCAGTGCCATACTGTTTTGATTACTGTAGCTTTGTAGTATAGTTAGAAATCAGGGCGCATGATACCTCCAGCTTTGTTCTTAAGATTGTTTCGACTGTTTGGGGCCTGTTGCATTTTCATATAAATTTTAGAGTTATTTATTCTAGTTCTCTGAAAAATGCCATTGGTTTTTTGATAGGGACTGCACTGAATCTGTAGAGTGCCTTGGGTAGTATGGTCATTTTAGCAATATTAATTCTTCCAATCCATGAATGTGTCTTTCCACCTGTTTGTGTCATCTTCAGTTTCTTTCATCAGTGTCTTATAGTTTTCTGAGTACAGGTCTTTTACCTCCTTGGTAAGATTTATTCCTAGGTATTTTACTCTTTTTGATGGGATTGTTTCCTTGATTTCTCTTTGTGATAGTTCGTTTTTAGTGTATGGAAATGCAATAGATTTCTGTATATTAATTTTGTATCCTGCCCCTTTACCTAATTCATGTATTAGTTCTAATAGGTTTTTGGTGGCGTCATTAAGATTTTCTATACATAGTGTCATGTCATCTGCAAACAGTGACAGTTTTACTTCTTCCTTTCCAATTTGCATTCCTTTTGTTTCTTTTTCTCATCTGATTGCTGTGGCTGGGACTTCCAAAACTATGTTGTATCAAAGTGGCAGGAGTGGACATCCTTGTCTTCTTGTTTCTCTTCTCAGAGGAAATGCTTTCAGCTGTTCACCATTGAGTGTGATGTTGGCCGTTTGTCATATTATGGCCTTTGTCATGGTGAGGTATGTTTCCTCTATACCCACTTTGTTGAGAGTTTTTAATCATAAATAGATGTTGAATTTTATCAAACGCTTTTTCTGCATTTATTGAGGTAATGATGATTTTTATTCTTCATTAATGTGGTATATCACATTGATTGATTTGCAGATATCGAAACATGCTTGCATCTCTGATACAAATCCCACTTTATGGTGTATGATCTTTCTAATGTATTACTGAATTTGATTTGCTTACATTTTGTTGAGGATTTTTGCATCTATGTTTATCAGATATCGACCTGTAATTTTCTGTTTTTTGTGATGTCCTTGTCTGGTTTTGGTATCATGGTGATGCTGGCCTCATCAGATGAGTTCGGAAAGCACTCTTTCCTCTTCAGTTTTCTGGAATAGTTTGAAAAGAATAGGTTTAACTTTTCTTCAGATGTTTGGTAGAATTCATCTGTGAAGTCATTTGGTCTTGGACTTTTGTCTGTTGGGGTTTTTTAAATTACAAGAATGCATTTTTTTAAAAGAGAAAACTTCTCAGAATTTTGGTAACAAGGCAGACGAGCTGCCAGGGAGTGTTTCAGACTCTCTGGATTAGCAGACATGTCCCGTTAACCACGAGGCAGTTTCACATCTGGCCACTGACACTGCAGTGTGTGGCTTGTGCCTCTGTGTCCTTGTGTGTAAAATGGAGGTGGTGTTGACCTCCTAGGTTACTGTGAGGACTGAATGAGTTGTTCCGTGTGCAGCCTGGCAGAGAGTAGGTGCCAACACGTTTGCCATTGTCATCTTCACTCTACGTTTTAATATGTGGATCATTCTGTAAGGTACTGAGCACATAATGAGTCTCTAGAATGTGTACAGATAGTATCTGGGGGCTGTTGCCTTTTGAGTGAGGTCAGGATCATAGCTTGAGAATTAGGTTCAGGAAAGGTGTTTGTCCAGGGAGCCAAACTGATGTAGTACAGGAACTTTGCTTTCCAGTGGTCAAACTTGATATGAAGAAAGAACTAAACACAGACACTTGAGGAATGACATGTGCCCAGGTGGTTCTGCTCAGATATCTCTCAGCAGTCGCTGGGGAGAATCTGGTCCAAAAAAGTCCTTGAGCCTAGAAAGGGGTGGGGGGGGCGGTGAGGAGAGTTACTGTTTAATGGGAACGGAGCTTCTCTTGGGGAATAAGAAGTAGTTCTGGGCATGGATGGTGGTAATGATTTTACAACAATGTGGATGTACTTGATGCCCCTGAACTGTACATGTAAAAATGACTGATGACAAATTTTATGTTATCTGTATTTTACCACAGTTAAAACAGAGAGAGAACGACAGGAAGGCACTGGCCAGCCTCTGGGAGTCCGCCTGGGCTGATAGAGGGAAGGGACCTTCACATTTTAGAATTAGTTGCTATCAGGTCATAAAAATTAAGCAATGATCCCTACTAATGTTTTGCAAAAGATGATACAAGGTGATCAAGCAGGCCATCGAGGCACAGGGACATGGTGTGGGTAATGAGGATGCTTTCTCTTAGTCCATGTGGTGGTCAGGGTTGTGTACCATTAGTCACCCGAGCAGGATTGCTTCGTAGTCCCTCAGGGTAACTCCAGAGGTCATGACTGAACAGCCTCCTTCTTTGAACAAATATTTACTGAGCGCCTGGTGTGCCAAACTGCCAGGTGCTGGATGGTCCTGGGCAAGACGTGACTCCCACCTATAGTTTGGTGTGTAAGTGGAGTCACCATGCCAACAGTTGAATTCAGCTGAGAACAGTAAGTGTTAGCGTGGATAAACGTTTTGTGTCGTGTGGGCTCCATTTATTGCTTTGAATACTCGATACCTAGTTGCCTCGGCACAAGGTATTGAGAAGTACTCTTTGTCCTCTGTCTTCTCCTTCTGTCATCAATGGAACGTCCGTATGTCCGTGGGTCTGTTTCTGGGCCCTCGATGCTTTCCTGAGTTCTGCTTGTCTGTGCCTCTAGCACCACACTGTCTCTGTCATGGTAGCTTTTACGTCCACCAGGTACCTTTTCAAGAGTGTGCTTACCAGCCTTTATCCTTCGTTATTTCCAAATACATTTTAGAATTAGTTTATTAAATCCCATCAGATAAAAATTAACCCCTCTGGGTTTTCATTGGGCTTGAAGGAATGGATTTGTTTGCAGAATTGAATATTCCTGTCCATGAATATGGTATATCAGTTGGTTGGTTTGTTTCTTACGGTGTTTCCAACTCCCAAATAAAAGAGTTGTGTATGCCACTTGGAACTAGTTGTCCCCTATCCCTTATTACCTACACACTGAACTGTGGGGAAGTCCGTTTCTCATTGCAATGTACTTTACTGGTCCCTTTAGGAAGGACCACGTTGCTTTGGCTGATCTGCTCCAGTCTTGGGGAGAGAGGAGCAGTGGAGGGTGGGGCTTCCTCTTATTTTGTTCTGCATCTGTGTTTATAAGTGAGATTGTCCCGCGATCACCTTGTTGCGTTTTGAGATAAAAGTTTTTCTAGCCTCATAAAATGAGTTGGGGCGAGTGCCCTCCTAATTCTGTTCGTGATAAATATGAGTTCAGTTGGCGGATTTGTTCTTTGAATGAGGGCGGGACTCCCCAGTGGAGCCATCTGGAACTTGAGTTGACTGTGAAGTCTTGACCAAGAAGATGGGGTCCTTGAAGCTTGGGGGGGAGTGGTCTGGAGACAGCGTGGAGGAAGGGGCCACCTTGTGTTGGGTGGCCCAGAGTAGTGTGTGCAGCAGCAGGTGAGACTGCACCCTGGCTACTGGTCAGGGGCGGCGGGGATGGAGGTCAGAGCTGCACCTAGGGCTGTCCTTGTCCTGCTAGGGCTGTGACCTCCCAGTTGGTGCCTTCTTGGTGAAGCCAGCAAAGCAGAGGCTCCGTCTGCCCCAGGGGCTCCCCAAGCGGTGGGTGTTGGGGCAGGATTAGCTGGGTCCCCGGAGACCCACCTCCTGCAACTAGCACAGTTGAAAGTCAGCTGGGCAAAGCCAGTTTGAATAAGCAAACCCTTCTTAGGCCTGCTTTTCTCATTCAAGGAAAAGAATGGAATGAATTTCTGGTTCTTGCGTCCTGAAAGATGACCAAGGCTGTGTCCCAGAGAAATACCCTTACGGCAACAAGGCTGAGCTCAGATGTGCGTCCCCCTCCTCTGCCCACCTCCCCTTTCCCTGCTGTCAGAATCCATCTCCCTCTTTACCACATCCCATGAGCTGCTGTTTCCTGATAATGACTGAGATTTTGAGCCTCTAACGGTCTGTTTGCTACCAGTCCTTTGCATGTTTCCCTTACGAGGACCTTTGGGGACCAGGCAGGCACCACAGCTTTTCCTGTGTGTACTTTATCAGAGTCGGGTGAGTTCATGGGACACGCTGACAGGGATGTTCCGGGTGGGGCTCCCTTGAAGCACAGAAGTACGGAGAGGGTGGCCGGTGGGCCTGGCACTCCCCTGGGCCTTGGGGCCCGCAGGAGAGCTGAGCTGTCCCTGGTCATCGTGGTGCGTTTCTCTGCTGAGCCGTGGACAGATAGGCAAAACGGGGCGAGGTAGGGCCACTGGTCTGCTCGGTCCTCGGAGCCCCACAGAGAACAGCTGCTTCGTGCTCGCCGGGTTCCTGCCGCTCCCGTTCACGCCCGAGGAGCAGACAGCCCCAGAATCTTCGTCGCTTACAGTAGCAAACCTCCACTGCACGTTCAGGGTCTTCGTGCCGGAGCCCAGACTGAAAGGGCAGCGGTACCCAGGGCGAGCTGTACAGCGAACCGCAGGAGCCCGAGGCCCCGGCCGAGCCAGCCCGCGGTGTCGCGGGGTGGGGGGCACTCTGTGTGCAGGTCGCACGTGGCAGCCTGTCCAGCAGCTTCCGGAGCAGGAGCCCCGTCCGCTAGTCTTCCGTGGATGCAGCGTGCGCAGTGCTGGGCGGGGAGGGGCTTCTCCCATGCTTGAGTCACTAAATGAGTGAGCGTAAACCCACGGAAGGTTCTAGTTTGATTTCTTATACAAGGAAGTTGAAAGTCACGTTTTTAAAAGGAGCCACGGGGCTTATAAAATTGCCTAAAAACCAGTGTCAGAAGAATGTCGTCCTTGTGTGCCATTTCCCTGATTTTATTGATGTTTTGCTCGAATTCTGTCTTGTTTCAGGGAAATAGTGGAACATATGGTTCAGCACTTTAAAACACAGATCTTTGGGGATCGGAAACCAGTGTTTGATGGAAGGAAGAATCTCTACACAGCGATGCCCCTTCCAATTGGGAGGGATAAGGTGAGCTCACAGAGGTGGGTTGGATCGAGCAGTGTGCGAGAAGTAAAGTCCGTTGTCCTCTTGTCACACACTGAACCACTTCACCCAGGAGGAAGGAGCCGCTAATTGGTCGTGTGCTTCATCGTGAGATCCACAGAAACTGCCTTCCGTGTGCCGTGGTTTTCAGTGGCAGAGGGTTAAGTTGTCTAAGTGCAGAGAAAGACGTTGAGAACTTCTTGAAACCACTAAACTTTTAAATGTAAAGCACACACGTGCACGCACATGCCCCAAACCAGCACCAGACAGGAGCCTGGATGACAAGGCGGGGCTGTAAAGACCTACGGAGAAGTATGTTTGCACAGGTGAGTGTGTGGGGGACAAAGGCGGTAAAACACACAGCCTTCGTTCAGCCGTAGCCAGTGATTCATCTGAACTGATGCTCATAATTAGTCAGCCTGGGAGTAGCGGTTGGTTTAAGCCTTTCCTTGTTGTCTTTGTCCTTACCGTGGTTTTACTTAAAAAGCAGTGAAATTTCTGCCCAGAAGCTCTTACTTCTTGGCCTATCTTTCAACCAATGGGCTGCTCTGGGATGATGGGCCTTGTTTGTAAGAGAGGAGGACCAAGGACGGCTTGGAAATCATTTTTACCCGTACTTTAAAAAAAAAACCCAGACTCGTAATTTAACAGTTATCCCAACGAGACTGTAGAATCTGATTCCCTTCAAGAATGACCCACGCAATCAGCTTCTTAGCCCCAGGGTCCCCGAGAGGGAAGATAGCTCAGAGCTTAGAGGGTCTCCTGCAAGTTCTCCACAGACGTGTGTTTGCTCTTGCATTTTAATGACGATCCGTCTGAATGGCCACAGCAGCGGGGCTGGCTGGGAAGTGTGATGAAGTGTGACGCTCAGATAGGAGGAGTCCTTAGGGCCAAGGGCAGGCCAGTGGTGATAAGGGCTCTGTCCCCGCAGGGCCTTGCTGTGATTCTAGGAGATAACAGTGGTGCTCGGCCCAGCCCTGCCTGGCTGGTGGGGGGGTGGGGGGTGGGGATTGACAGGGTTTGAATTTGGAGGAGCCCCAGGACCCAGTGCCTGTCAGCTGAGCAGTCACCCCTTGCTAATTAACATGCTCTCCATTTGAAATGTATGAGTTATAGAGTTTTGTGTTTAATTTGCACATTTGTTTTTGTTTAAAGTTCTATAAGAAAGAAAAGCATAAGGAGTTTATTCACAGTTTTGTCTGTACATATTTATAATTAGATACTAGGAGGGGCTAAGGAGTATTTTTCTTTCAGAAGGGGTGGGGAGGATGTATGGTGTTCAAATTTGAGACATCGTTGTGGACGTTAACACGGGTTCTGGGGTAATAATAAGTCTGATCCGAGGCCTGGCTTCGCCCTTAACTCGTGGTGGGACCTTGGGTAAGCTGCTCACCTGCCACCCCTATAAAATGGGGAGATGGTATAGACACTACCTCCCAGGGGCCTTGTGACAATTGAATGGGTGAACACACCCCAAGAAAAGCTTCTCCACCTTCAGTGTGCCTCCTGCAGCCCTGGGGCCTCTGCTAAGTGCTGGTTCTGGTTCAGGGTCTGGGGTGTCTGCATCTCTAAGCCGCTCTCCTGGTGATGCCCGTAGAACACCTGGGACACAGTCCACACTTAGCAGATGCTAATAGGTGCTGTTGCTGGTCCAAGGGTTCGCATCTATCGTCTTGACCCATGTCCGTGTGGACGCCCTGATGCCCACAGCAGCCCTTCGTACGTATTGCCAAGACTCAGTGGGCATCAGTGTCTCTTAAATTGAGTCCCACCCATCCTCATCCTTTTTTCAGGTGAGCTGAGAGGACCTAGCCAAGGCCACAGCGTTTGGTTAGCGTGGGTCTCCAGATTCCAGACCCCTCCTTCCAGTTGTCTTTAAGGTTCTGTCAAATATTCGTGAGATGCAGAAATTAATCTCTTCCGTCTGAGAGCTAATGTAAGATGTTAGCCTTTTCTATTTCCGTATGTTCACATCTTGGAGCAAAGTGTCATCCTTTTTTTTTTTTTTTCATTTTACGTTTGCTCTCTTTTCTATACAGTACTTTTCTTTGTGTCATGGGCACTTTTGTAGTAAGAGAAGACATCCTTTAATGTCCCGGAAACCCTGTGTCTGCTAGCGGCTGCCCGGGGGCCGCAGGTGGCTCTGCACAGGTCTGTGCACAGACTGTGGCCCCGGGCCCTTACTCAGGGAAGGCAGCTGTTTGCGATCTACTCCTGCTCTCTCCAACTAGCGACCCCCCCGCCACACGCACACGCACACGTGCGCGCACACGCGCGCGCCCCTTGATCCCAGCCCTGTCGTGTCTGGAAGACCCGGTGCACCAGGCCAGCCCTTCCCTCCCCACGCGGAGACCGAGGAGTCTGTGAGGGCCGTTCACGGTCTGGGGTTTCACTTCTGGACCCTCTGCAGCAGGAGCATGACATGAGTTGCAAAGGGGAATGTGTGTCATTTGTTGGCCTTGTTGCTGGGTCCAGCCCTCCCCCAGCGGGTCTGCAGCTTCCTGGACCTACAGCCTCTATGCGTTTATTCAGGGAAGGTGTGAGCGTCTCCTGAGAAGGAAGCGCCCCGTGAGGCCAGGCACGAACTCGGATGGGTAGCAGACCCTGCGTGGAAGGCGTTCCAGCCTTCAGAGTCCACGGCGCCCCTTCTCCCCCTGCACCACGCCCCGGACCGCGAGCCGGGCTGCCTGTGCCCCGCTGGCCACTGCTGACCTGGGGTGACGGGCTGGAGAGTCTGAGCAGGGTGGTGAGGCCTCTGCACTTGGAGGGTCGCAGGTCTGAGGAGGGGCAGGAGGGGAGGGCAGAGGCGGTGGGGGCCAGGGAGCCGTCCTTGGGGCCTCCTTGGCGAGCCCACAGGTGGAGGGTCTGCCCGGCCTCGTTTGCCCCTCAGGCAGTCCTGCTGCCTTCGGACTGAGGGTCCCTCCAGTGAACCTGTGGCAGTTTTTTTTTTTTTTAATAAATTTTATTTATTTATTTGTTTGTTTGTTTATGGCTGCGTTGGGTCTTCGTTGCTGCGCACGGGCTTTCTCTAGCCACGGCAAGCGGGGCTAACTCTTCGTCCTGGTGCGCAGGCTTCTCATTGCGGTGGCTTCTCTTATTGCGGAGCACGGGCTGTAGGCACGTGGGTTTCAGTAGTTGTGGCTGGCGGGCTCTAGAGCACAGGCTCAGTAGTTGTGACGCACGGGCTTAGCTGCTCCGCGGCATGTGGGATCTTCCCGGACCAGGGCTCGAACCCGTGTCCCCTGCATTGGCAGGCGGGTTCCTAGCCGCTGCGCCTCCAGGGGGGCCCGGGCCTGCGGCATCTGTCAGCGAGCTTTGGCCTGTTGGCGGGTCGAGGTGCTCGGCAAGCACGGCTCCTCAGCCGCGCAGCCCCTCCCTGGACCTGTCGTTCTCCTGCCGCCGTCACTGAATTCCCGGCCGTCTCCCAACGCTTTGTCCCGGGTCGTCTGAGGACGGGCTGCTCGTTGACGGGATCTGTTGCTGTGCCGGTCACAGAAGACCTGCGCTCCCAGCGCCCTGTGCGCATGGAGCCTGGCAACCCCGAGGCCCTGCCAGCACTGTCACTCCTTCCTGAGGGATGGATGGCAGCCACATCTGGACAAGCAAAGCCCGCTGGGCGCCGTGGCTGCCGCTCCCTGGCCGCGCACGCCTCTCCTTGCTCTTGTCGGTGCTGCTTCCGAGCTGCACGGCGGCACCAAGCGGGACTCTTCCTGTCCCAGTTCTCATCTGTCGCCCTGGTGGCGTTCAGACAGAAGGGACTGAGTGTGTGGCTGTGGTCTGCCTGGAGACATTGACTCTCACATCTGCCTCACCGTTTTCCAGGCCTGGGGTGGCGTCCCTGCTAACGTTGTCCATATTCAAAAGCTGGCAGTGGTCGCCTTCCTGTGTCGCAGCTTCTGGGCTGCCGGCATCCTCGGTTGGCACAGGCATCTGTGTGGCGCGTGGGCTGCCCTCCTGTCCCGTATTACAGACGGCACCCAAGGGAGCCACAGAGGTTACAGAGCTGGGAGCCCGCACACTGCCCTTGGGTGCTGCGTGGTTGGGACCAGAGCTACAGGGTGCTCAGAGGTTGGAGTGTCTTGGTGTGTGGAGCGCGTCCAGTGGCCGGCAGCCCAGACGGACATGAGGACTGCTCTTGGGCTCGTGCCACAGCTGAAGCCCGGTGCCACCCTGCCCCTGGAGTGACATTTCTGTTGAAATCTCCATCATCCCTAAGATATTAGATGCCTGTACCAGTTGGCCTCTTGAGACGTGACTGACAGAGAATGTTGTAGAGCCTGGAGCTTATTCTGTTCCCTTTTTATGGGGGCCAAGAGGAGGCTGGTCTAGAATCTGTTTAAAAATAGAGGACTTCGGGCTTCCCTGGTGGCGCAGTGGTTGAGAGTCCGCCTGCCGATGCAGGGGACATGGGTTCGTGCCCCGGTCCGGGAAGATCCCACATGCCGCGGAGCGGCTGGGCCCGTGAGCCATGGCCACTGAGCCTGTGCGTCCAGGGCCTGTGCTCCACAACGGGAGAGGCCACAACAGTGAGAGAGGCCCACGTACCGCAAAAAAAAAAAAAAATAGAGGACTTCGTGGTGGTGCAGTGGTTAAGAATCCACCTGCCAATGCAGGGGACACGGGTTCGAACCCTGGTCCAGGAAGATCCCACATGCCACGGAGCAACTAAGCCTGCGCACCACAACTACTTAGCCTGTGCTCTAGAGCCCGCGAGCCACAACTACTGAGCCCACGTGCCACAGCTACTGAAGCCCGCGCGCCTAGAGCCCGTGCTCCACAACAAGAGAAGCCACCACAATGAGAGGCCCGCGCACCGCAACGAAGAATAGCCCCTGCTCGCCACAACTAGTGAAAGCCCACACACAGCAACGAAGACCCAACGCAGCCAAAAATAAATAAATTACAGAAAGAAAGAAAGAAAGAAAGAAAGGGTGTTTTAAAATAAATAAAATAAAAATAGGAGTACCTTTTGCTAAAGGAAAATATGCCCCTCTGAATCCCACTCAGTTGGATTATAGAGGCATTTTTAAAGAATGACATTGACAAGCGTCTAATTAGCTCCGGTTCACAGAATTCTTCTTTAGATGCGCCAGGTGCTGCTGGGTGGAGACGTGTGCGGTAGGCGTGAAGTGCCCACTGTACACGTTGGTGTGTGAGAAGGAAACTAGCGTGCGGTCTCCACCCACCTGTTAGCCGTGTCCTTGGTGCACCATGTCTGAATAGGCGGAAGTGCTTACCCCCTCTGCTGACGCGCGAGCAGGTCTCTGCTGGTCCACGCTCAAGCCCTCCCCCGCACCCTCCCCCATGGCCACCATCCTGATGACCTGGGTTAAATGGACCCTTTCTTGACTGGTTTTATCAGCTGTGTGTGCATCTTTAACATGTTTTGCCCTGAGGCGAGTCATACTGCAGTGTGCCCCTGTGGCTTGCCGCTTTTATTCAGTATTAGATGCTTGAAATCCATCCATTGTGAAGAACGTGTTCCTTTTTCCCTGCTCTGTTCTCCCTTCGATGGACCTCGGGCCGTTTCCATTTTGGGGCCGTCAGGCTTGGTGTGTGGGCCTGTGCTGGAGCACACCTAGGACACAGGCGTGCAGGGGGCTTTGGTGCAGTCTGGTTGCTGCTCTGGTGATGTCTGGATGGGCTGTGGCAAGTGCAGGAGGGAGGGAGCCCCTGCGAGTGCAGAGTGAGCAGAGGAGCTGAGCACAGGCTGTCAGGTGAGAGGGGGAAGGAGGGCGTGAATGAATGAGCGAGGCTGGTGCCAGGACCTCTCGCCCCCGCCCCGCCCCGGGTCATCACGTGGTGAGTGGAAGGGCCTTTGACATCAGCCCAGCTGGCTCCCAGTCCCACGTCTGCCCTTCCATGGTCGTGTGGCCTTGGGCTGGACTGTCAGTCTGAGGGTCTGTGTTTTTTGTATAACGCATGGTGAACAAGTCTCCCTTGCTGGGATTTTTGGGTGTTTAAGGATAAAGTATATAGTCTGTGCCCTACCAATAGATGTTCCATAAACACAGGGAAGTATTACCAGCAAATATCAGAATTGCTTCAGTCATCAGCTGTGTGTGTGATGCTCAGGGTGCATTAGTCAGTCGCCAAATAATAAGTTACCGTTTCAGTGGTGGAGTGAAGGCACTGGGTAAAGGTGTGTCTGGGCATCGCATGGAGCAGGGTGGGTGGGCGTGGTGAGGGGCGAAGGACCATACTGGGAGGTGGGGAGAGAAGTGGATTTGCTGTTCATCGAGGGTTGGCTCCAGAGGGCGCACCTTGGACCATTGTCCTGAACACCCGCCACTGGCTGCACGCGGCTGTGTGCACTCAAATCTACTAGAAGTTAATGAAGCTAAAAGTTTAGTTCTGCAACTCCCACCAGCCACGTTTCAAGTGCTCAGTGGTCACAAGTGGCCCGTGGCTTCTGTCCTGGTCAGCTCAAGAAAAGACTGTTTCCATTACCACAGAAAGTTCTGTTGGAAAGGGCTGTTGTAAACACTGAGTGCTACTGTGTAAATATTCTGAGGTCTTGCTGAGAATTTTAATTTCTTCCCAGGGAATTCTGATTGGTCTTGTGGTAGCTGAAGGTACTTTCTCCGCCATCTTGTACCTGGCGATGCTGGTACCGCAGCACTTTCCTGTTGCACAGATGGGCATAGACAGCCCTTGGAACAGCATCAGGGCTTGTTTGCCTGGGGAAGAGCCTGGCTTGTCCCCACTGCCCACACGCTTCATTCAGTGCCTGTGATCTGCCCACGTTTTATTGTAACGTCGAGGGAATTGGGAGACGCACGCCCGTCTAGGCTGTTGTAGCGTCGAGGGAATTGGGGGACGCACGCCCGTCTAGGCTGTTGTAGCGTCGAGGGAATTGGGGGACGCACGCCCGTCTAGGCTGTTGTTAGCGTTTTGTTCCGTTTTACCTCATGTCTGTTCTGAGAAGGCTTTTCTTCATGATTTATTCACTGCAAAACTAGCTTATGGACTCTTAAGGGACCCAGAAAACAGGAACCCCCAGAGCCACTGCGGTTTTCTCAGTCCCACTGGAGAAAGAGTAACTCCCCAGGACCCCCAGTGAGCTGCCCACGCCCCCTTCCTCTGTCCCAGGAGCAGCCTAGGCTTGTGCCTGCGCCCTGCTTTCCTCTTCCTGGGGTGCCCTCCTCAGAGAGGCCGACCCAGACCCCAGCTGAGCAGCTGCCGTGCGGCTTCAGGACGCCTTCTCCCGGCTGCCACCGTGTGCAGGATCGGGCTGGGGAAGCACTAGACACCCGTGGCGGGAAGGACTCCCGTTGCGCTTCAGTCACTGGCTGCTGGAGGAGGGGCTGAGCGTGCCCTCTCCTGGGCTTGGATGAAGGACCGGCTGAATTCCCCTAACCTCGGGACTCTGGAAGCTGACCCACCACCCTTGACCTCCCTGTAGCTTCTTCAGAGGGAAGCGTGAGTAACTGTGTGCTCTGGATCCCCTCCCAGGTGGAGCTGGAGGTCACGTTGCCAGGAGAAGGGAAGGACCGCATCTTCAAGGTGTCGATCAAGTGGGTGTCCTGCGTCAGCTTACAGGCATTACACGATGCACTCTCGGGGCGGCTGCCCAGCGTCCCCTTCGAGACGATCCAAGCCCTCGACGTGGTTATGAGGCATCTGCCGTCCATGAGGTGAGGACCGTCCATGAGGTGAGGACCGTCCATGAGGTGGGAACCGAGAAGCCTGAATCCTCTGTCTGAGCAGGTGCCGGTTCTCGGGGACAGGGTGGGGACGGCCGTAGGGGTTTATACGATGAAAGCAGTAGCAACGCCAGCTCGGGAAAAACTGTCATGTAAAAAGAAATGGCCGGAGCTCGCAGCCAAGCACACAGAGGTCCTGCCTGTCTCTCGGTGCAGCGGTCGCTCCACCCGGCGTGCGGGCTCGGTCCTGCTTCTCAGTCGCCCTCGCGCTCAGGAGCCCTGTTCCAGCCTCTGTGCTTGCCTGGCCTCCGCCTCGAGGGGGGGCCTCTCGGGACCGCGGGAGCGCCCACGCCCACACACTTCGCTTTATTCTGTGGGATTCCTTTCACTGATCACCACACTTGAACTTGTTGAGGCAGAGGGTAGGAGGACACTTTGGTGGCTCGTGATTGACCAGATGAAGGCGCAGGGCCACACCAGCTCCCCATGTGACAGCTGTGTGCGAGCCACACCCACCGCTCGGGTTTCCAGTGTGGGACGCCTCTTCCTTCCCCGGGTGGCGTGCACAGTAGGGCCTCAGGAACTCTGAACGATTAAGTGAGAGGAGGAGAACCTGAAACTGGAACGAACCTCCGTACTGAACTCTCCCAATACCGACCAGAACTCTAAGGTTTGAGGGGAGGGTGTTTTAAGTGTAAGAGGAATCTCCTTGAAGGGCCGTGTTAGATTTAAAGGGGACCCTGGTGTTCTCGAAACACAGGGCAGGCTGTCACTCCTGGCAGGGTCCCCGGGCCCCTGCAGGTAGTCTGTCACTGCTTGGGACTGTTGATGTGAGGAAGGCGGGTGGGTGCAAACGACCCCAGCTCTTAAGGGCTGCCGCCCAAATGTTGGATCCATTTCTTAAAAGAGTGGCAGGAGTTACTATGATTTTTTTTTTTCTGCATTCCTTTGCATTAATCACCATGTTACTTTTATAATCAGGAGGAAAGTCTTTCATTTGGGGGAAATAGAGAAAGGCTGGGGGAAGCAGAGTGTGTGCGTCCTGGTTGGCGGCTCGGCCTGTAGGCGACAGGGTCTTCCCTCGGGCACCCTCGGTGATGCCGCGGCCGCTGCCCTGGAGAGTGCGGTGGCCTCCGTCTCTGAGCACCTTCAGTCACTCCCCCTGGGAGGGCATGGGTGTTCCCTCACGTGGACCTCACTGTCCCCCGAGACGAGGTCCGAGCTCTGCAGCTCCCGCTCCCCCCCCCCATAGAGGAGCCGGGTGGAAAGGGAACGGGGCCTGGGTGCTTGGTCTCCGCGAGGTCCTCGGCCCTCCGTGCCAGACGCCCCGAGGCCCGGGCGGGACCGGTCTGGCTGGCTGACTGTGGTCGCCTGCACCTGCACTCCTGCCCGCCCCATCCTAGAAGGAGGTGAAGTGCTGTGGGCAGACCCGAGGGCTGCGGGCGAGGCATCGCGGTGGGAGGATCGCGTGGGGAACACGAGGTGTAACCAGACCCCTGTGTCCTCGGCTCGCGGGAGGAAGTTCTCCTGCGTGTGCCCCGCGTGTTGGCCGTGGACACAGGCGGACGGCTTGCGCGTCTGCGGGGTGTGTGCCCGCCGGCCTACCTAGACAAGGCTCCCGTTCCAGATACACCCCCGTGGGCCGCTCCTTCTTCACGGCGTCCGAGGGCTGCTCCAACCCGCTGGGCGGGGGACGAGAGGTGTGGTTTGGCTTCCATCAGTCCGTCCGGCCTTCTCTTTGGAAGATGATGCTGAATATCGACGGTAAGCAGAGCCCCGGCCACCATCGGGGGGTGAGGGGGGCTGCGAGGCCCCTCCACACGCGCCCGGCGCGCCGCACTGCTCGTGCACGGAGGTAGTGGCGCTCACGCTTGACCGTCAGAGCCTCCGCGGGGCCCCCTCCACAGACACAGCCTGTGGCTCAGGAGGCCGAGAGGGGGTTCCCGGCTGCCCCTCTGTGTTGGACCCCACGTGGGAACAGTAAACTTCAGGGAGCCCGAGACCAGAAGGGGGTCAGAAAGTGCCAGAAAACCCAGGCCTGCGGTTATCACCGGCTGATGGGTTTTGTTTTTACACCGCGGCATTTTCCTCAGAGGGTGACTTCAGCCTCTGCCAACCCCTCCACCTCCCCTCGGAGTCCACAAGCAGGGGCAGCAGGGGGAGCCGGCCGGCTGCGGGGGTGGCCTGGCCAGGCAGGCCCGGTCACGTCTCGGCTTTTGTCTCTTCTCTTCCCGCCTGTAGTCTCGGCAACAGCATTTTATAAGGCACAGCCAGTAATCGAGTTTGTGTGTGAAGTTTTGGATTTTAAAAGTATTGAAGAACAACAAAAACCTCTGACAGATTCCCAAAGGGTCAAGTTTACCAAAGAAATCAAAGGTAACTAGCTGCCCGCCGCGGTGGATGAGGGACGCGACCTGCATGGCCCTGAGTTTCCCAAGTTCTTGTTCATTCATGTTTCCGAGGGGAAGGGGCAGGGGGCGGCGGAGGAGCCAGCCCTCAGAGACACATCAGCGCAGGACAAGGACGCCCGCTTCCCAGAGCAGGAACGATTTCTAAATGATGACTTTCTGCGTGGGGTGGCCCGGCAGTGTCCGAGTGCAGATATGAGGGCCAGGCAGCTGCAGCACAAGTGTAATCAGTTTTCTCGGGCCGTTCCGGAACGTTGGTTCCTTGTCATTTAACCGAGCCTGGGTTCCACTCAAGAAAACTCAGCCCAGGGTTCAGTGACCTGGCTGTGTCCTTCTGCCCGTCGTCGGAGAGCTGGCAGGCCCTGTAGGCTCGGCCCCTCTGCACCTGTCCTTCCTGGGGGTGTTCAAAGGCCGGCAGCAGTGCTCATTGCTAAAAATAACCCCGAAGGAAGCACAGAAGGCCGTGGAGGCTGACGCCCCGCCCTCAGCCGAGCCCACGTCGCCCCTCGTCTTTGAGGACACACCCTGCCTCTGGCCCGGGCATCCCTGGGGCAGGGGGCGTCCCTGGGGGTGAGATGGCCCAGCGCGAGGGTCACCCAGAAGGCCCTCGCCGTGGGTCTGTGGGTGAGGTTCCCCTGAAAGCTGATGGGCTGACAGTGGGGTGTGCGCTGCAGGCCCGGGCGAGTCTTGATGCTGAAACCCAGCTGCTGTGTGTTCTCAGGTCTAAAGGTGGAGATAACGCACTGCGGGCAGATGAAGAGGAAGTACCGCGTCTGCAACGTGACCCGGCGGCCCGCCAGCCACCAAACGTAAACGGCCTCCCTGTCAAACGCTTACCAGCTCTGACCTTCACTGTCACTCAGATGTCCAAACTCTGCAGCAATCACTTCTGCAAAGGATTTTCATTCTAGTTATAAAATTCCGAAAGCACACTTCACCTTGTGAAATAAAATAATGAAATTCCCCCTGTATGGGGCGGGGGGAGGGGCTCACCGTCAGTTTTCCTTCTTGAATATGACGGGCGAGGGAAGGTCTTTCTGGTTCATTTTCCAGTCCTCCGTACTGAGTGGGGTCCAGGGAGGGAGTGGGGATCGGTTGGCGCTGCCTGGATCCACAAGCGTGGCCCGGCCCAGGCCAATGCTGCGGCCTCTGTCTTGAGCTCCCGTCACTTCACAGACAGCCTGGGGTCCAGGTCCGTGTAGTAAGCGTCCTGGTGCACGGATGCAGTGCTGTCTGAGGTTGTGTGGCCCCCTCACCCCACCTTGAGGCCTCCTGGGTCCAGTGAGGACTCGTTAGTTTCTCTCGCGGTCGCTCCGTGGGAAGTGCCTGGTGTGTCTCTGGGTACTGGTTATACCAAGACGCCCAGGGTCCTGTGCAGCAGTGGGGGGGCAAGATGAGCCTGTGTCTTTGTCCCCATGACCTCCTCCCACCGGGCAGAGCGAAGGAGTCGGCAGAGGTCCCCTACCCCTGTGCCCAGCGCCCTCGGCCCCATCCTGCATGGGGGCTGCCCCCCCCCCCCCCACCGTGAGTGCAGGATGCCACTGTGCTCTCCCGCCCCTGCAAGTGGGCCTCTCCTGCCTCAGCCCACCACATGTGGCTGCGGAGGCCTGAGCAGCCCCAGCTTGTCCCTTTCACTGTCCTGTTCTGGAAGGCCTCAGGTTTTCTGGGGCGGACACTTGGAGCGCTCAGCCGGTAACCGACTTTCAGAGTCAGTGCGAGGTCAGCTGGAACGTGCACAGGCTGTTCTTTCTGGATTTGTCTTCGTTTGCCCTGAGTCCTTTCCGTGTACTCCAGATGTATGTGTCGTTTGTCCTGAGTCCTTTCCGTGTACTCCAGGTGTATGTGTCGTTTGTGGTTATTGCATATTGTAATATGTATTGCATATTGCATATTGTGCGGGTGCTTTTCACTTCCCGACTCCAGAGATAAAACGAAAGTTTAGGGACTTGGGAATGTTCAGATAAGCCAGAGGGCATGATTTGGTTTTGACCCCCAGGGAGGTGCTTTGAATCACCCTCCACCTTCTTCAGCCCTAAGAAGGCAGACCCACAAAAGCATCCCTGTGTGAGCGGGCACGTGGGTCTTGGTCACCCATCCCCTGGGGGCCTGGGAAGCTCCGGGGCTGAGCCGCCTCTTTCTTCCCCAGGTTCCCGCTGCAGCAGGAGAGCGGGCAGACGGTGGAGTGCACGGTGGCCCAGTACTTTAAGGATAGGCACAAGCTGGTTCTGCGCTACCCTCACCTCCCATGTTTACAAGTCGGACAGGAGCAGAAACACACCTACCTTCCCCTAGAGGCAAGTCCCCCTCCCTCCATCTCTGCGGGCTGGGAGGAGAACTTCCGGGGCAGGGGTCCCGCTGGCACCCCGGGCCCAAACCTTGTTATTCCTGCCACTGGGGGACCTGGGACAGGTTAACAGATGTGGTCCAGCCTCAGTTTCTGCACTAATAAGATGGGTTTGGTAACTTACAGAATTCGTGTGAAGGTCGAGACCATACGTGTGTGCCCAGCAGGCCCCTGGCACCCAGTAAAACGTGCTCAGGAATCACTTCTGGTTTGAAAAATCCTTGCCTGGGAAAAGATCAAATGCTGAAACTAGGACACAAGTTTTTAAGTCTTTTCTGGTAGTGTTTTCAATTCTCGGTATTTGTCCAGTTACTGGAACACCTGGCCCTTGGTTTGGTTTTGCCTGTGCTGGGTGCAGGAGGCAGACTTCCTTCCCATCCCCCGCAGCTCTGTACTACAGCCCCGTGTCTGAGGACGGGGGTCCGCACAACCCAGGGTGAGGACACAGGCCAACCCCAGCCCGCTGCTGGGTGGTGCTGCTTTCAGCGGCGCGGTTCCCGGCTCGCGCTTCTGTTGTGCTGGGTCTCCTCGGGTGGTTTCTGCCTTGGGCCGGAGGGCCTCCGCCCGTGTGCGGTTCCTAGTGGGTCTCAGGAACAGCCTCCACACTGGCGTCTGTGTGGCGCCTCACAGCTCACCCGTGAGGAACAGGTGTGTCACGGGCAGAGCTGGGCGCCAGCTCTCGCGCTTGGCCTCAGACCCGTGCCCGCTTCCCAGCCCGCTGCTGACACCCGGTTCTTGGCGTTTCTTCATAGGTCTGTAACATAGTGGCGGGACAGAGATGTATAAAAAAGCTGACCGACAATCAGACCTCAACCATGATCAGAGCGACTGCCAGGTCAGCCCCCGATCGGCAGGAAGAGATTAGCAAATTGGTGAGCGTCACATCCTCGGGTGGGGACACCCTGGGGACGCCAGCTCAGGGTGCCCAGGGCAAGGCCCCCCGATGCTTTGGACAGACTGGGCTTCTGGAAGGAAGCAAAGTCCACCCCTGACTCTGTGCCTTTCCTTCTTCCCTTTTCAAGATGAGAAGTGCCAGTTTTAACACAGACCCGTATGTCCGTGAGTTTGGAATCATGGTCAGAGACGAGATGACCGACGTGACCGGGCGGGTCCTCCAGCCGCCCTCCATCCTCTACGGGGGCCGGGTAGGTAGACGGCTGGGTGGGCTGTTTGTGGGTGTTGGGAGTGTGTGTCCGAACGTCGATGTTGGAGCGGCAGCACCTGACCCACACGCACACATCCTCAGGTGTAGACCATGGTCAAGGTAAAGGATTCTTCCTGACCCAGTGTGAACCTGTAACAGCCATGGGCCTTCATAAAGGACTGGTTTCCTTAACCCTTTTAAAGTTTTCTGAATCACCCCTTTTCTTTTCAAAAGGTAAACTTTATTATCTCATCAAAATTTTAAAAGCATCATTCTTTGTATGATGGGTACTCTGCCAGTGACGAGTTACTCTCCAGAAGTTCATGCCGCTTTTCTGCTTTCTAACTTTTGTTTTGGAGGTATGTGGGAGCAAGTACATCAGTTTAGTCACGGGCACAGTTCTGTCTGTTGGTTCTTGCCCGTTTGACCTCTGGTTCTGGTCAGTACGGTCCTGACCCTTGAGCCCCTTAGAACTCACGAGAAGTTCTTCTCTCCTTTCCTCCTGGCACCTCCCCCGTAGCTGCAACGCAGGTGGTGGGGCTCAGCTTCCAGGGTCACAGCTTTGGGAATCCCCTGGCCGTCCAGTGGTTAGGGCTTGGCGCTTTTACTGCCGGGGCCTGGGTTCAATCCCTGGTCAGGGAACTAAGGTCCTACAAGCCGCAGGGCACAGCCAAGAAAAAGAGCGAGCGAGCGAGCGCGCGCGCACGATAGAGAGTGAGAGAGAGAGAGAGAACAAAGGTCATGGCTTTTGTGGGTCAGTGAGCACCTGTGGGAGCCTGTGTTCTACATGACTTGACACCTTTTTACCTGATGGGGTGGGACTCCAGTCCTCAGCGCCTCTGGCAAGCTTTAGTTTTGTTTTTTCGGCTGCGTTGGCTCTTCGTTGCTGCGCGCGGGCTTTCTCTAGTTGTGGCGAGTGGAGGGTACTCTTCATTGCGGTGCACAGGCTTCTCATTGCGGTGGCTTCTCTTGTTGCAGAGCACGGGCTCTAGGCACATGGGCTTCAGTAGTTGCAGCATGCGGGCTCAGTAGTTGCGGCATGCAGGCCCTAGAGCATGCAGGCTTCAGTAGTTGTGGCTCGCGGGCTCTAGAGCGCAGGCTCAGTAGTCGTGGCGCACGGGCTTAGTTGCTCTGCGGCATGTGGGATCTTCCCGGACTGGGGCTCGAACCCGTGTCCCCTGCATTGGCAGGAGGATTCTTAACCACTGCACCACCAGGGAAGTCCCTTCAGTTTTTTTTTCTTTTTTTTTGCGGTACGCGGGCCTCTCACTGTTGTGGCCTCTCCCGTTGCGGAGCACAGGCTCCAGACGTGCAGGCTCAGCGGCCATGGCTCACGGGCCCAGCCGCTCCGCAGCATGTGGGATCTTCCCGGACCGGGGCACGAACCCGTGTCCCCTGCATCAGCAGGCGGACTCTCAACCACTGCGCCACCAGGGAAGCCCCCCTTCAGTTTTGTTTGCAGGACTTTTTCTTTTCTTATTTTAAAATATAAGTTCTATTTTTTTAAGCGTTTCAAAGTTCAAAAGATACAAAGAATTATAGGGAGAAAAATCTCTTTCTCCCCAGATCCTGGTTACTTTCCCAGGAGGCAATTCTCCTGGTAAAATCGCTCCAGGGATTATTCACATATTTTTTTCACCCCTTCTTGTGCAGATAGCTGCATATTAAGTACACGTTTGTGCCTTGCCTTTTTTTACTTAATATTTTCTCTTCGATCCCATGGAGATCTTGGAATGTGTGTGACCTCTGGCTTGTCGTTTTTGATCGTTGCATGGTATTCCTTTGTGGGGGGAGCCCCACCCTAGCCAGTGGGCATGGGGGCTGCTCCCCGTTCTCTGCAGGGTGCCTTCTGAGCAAGGCCTCCTGGCTCCTTCTCAGCCCACTTGTGCACCTGGGAGCTCAGACGCTGCAGACACAGCACCTTCTTAACCCTCCCTGTGGCCCTAGGAGGGAGAGGTGGATTCCCTTTCACAGGTCAGTGAGGAGATGCCCGAGGTAGTGAGACTTACATAGTGAAACCAAGATTGCATATCCAGCGTCTTTCCACCTTTTAGTAAAGACAGGAGTCATCTGGAAAACAAAGCAGCTCTTGTAATCTAACCTTGCAAGAATGTTAGAATTGTAAGGATCCAAACTTTAAATGCTTCTAAATGAATGAATTTTTCCAGATGTTTTAAACATTGTAATGGGAGCGAACACTTCTCATCACCTGCCCTACCCATTGTCCTGTTAGACAAAACATTAAATGTCCCCCAGGGACATCCGGCAACGTCTGGACTGGAATCTGATGGGCAGCAGCTGCTGGCACCCTCCAGCGCACAGGACTGCCACACAGCAGCCAGCCAGCCACGTGCCCACTGCAGGGCTGAGGCTGAGAAACGCTCCGATAGTAAGAGTGCACTGCAGTGTAAACTGTGCGTGCGTGTGTGTGTGTGTGTGTGTGTGTGTGTGTGTGTGTGTGTGTGTTTACTTACTGAGTCTGGAACACTACACTTGGTGGTGGCTCTGTCTTATAGAAGGAGGCTCGCAGGAGCTGGGTAGTGGTTTAGAAAATATAGGAAACAAAAACATTCATTTGTGTAATATTTGATTTTTACAATATGCTTATATTATTTTAGTAGGAAAAAAGTGTTTTTCATTAAAAAACACTTTTGCAGAGTAAATGACAGCAACTCAGACACAGCCCTGTCCTTCAGGGCCTGCTGCCCGCTGGCCTGGGATGGCAGCTCTGCCCCCTCCACACGGCCCTGGCTAAAAAAGGAGGCCAGTGCCAAAGCCTTCTCTCTGACTCAGGCCCAGCCTGTGGGACTCGCGCTTTCTCTGTAGGGCACACAAGGGTCCAGCCAGCACAGCTCCAGTCACAGCGTCCCTTCCTGACTGTCCCTTGTGCTCCAGAATCACTTGAAGGCAGTTCAGAGATTCCTTCAGTGAGTGTTGAGACCTGGTCGTTTCTGGTTGAGAGATGACACAATTAAGTGGATGCGTCATCTGCTGTTGTTTTCCTTCCGAAATGGGAATGGCTTACACAACTGCAGGCAGCGGCGCGTGGAGCCGGGGAAGCGGTGGGCTCGGTCCTAGCTGGCCTGTCTGCTCCGGGCACAGGACTGGGAAGAAACACCTTGCTTCCCTTCCCTTCCCTTCCCTTCCTTCCTTCCCTGGCTGCCCCGCTGATAACGGATGAGGTAGAATGAACGGAAGCCTGTTTATAAGACAAGAAGCCTTCCCGTAACGTCGTGAAGCACTTCTTTTCCTCCAGGCGACCCGTGACATTGGATGGAGCTCTGGGCCCTCCCTGCTCAGCCTTCCGGGCACCCCCCTGCTCCCCACAATCTACTTCTTCACCCCTCCATCCTCCCTCCACCTCTCACCCCTCCATCCATCCTCTGTCCGTCCATCCATCCATCCATCCTGCACACACCTGTGGGACCCCTGCGGTGCCAGGCGGCTCGGAGATGGGGAGTCCACGCAAAGGTTCCCTTCTCAGCCTCAGGAGCTGCCATCTGGTCAGGGGACCAACAGCAGTAGGGACAGTGACAAAATCCAAGGTCAGAGGAATATGTTTTCCGTTTTCTTCTTACTCTAAACTTCTCGCCGTTTGCAGAATAAAGCGATTGCCACCCCTGTCCAGGGCGTCTGGGACATGAGGAACAAGCAGTTCCACACGGGCATTGAGATCAAGGTGTGGGCCATTGCGTGCTTCGCCCCCCAGCGGCAGTGCACGGAGGTGCACCTCAAGTAAGGCCCCCAGGGGCGGGGGGAGGGGGCCACGGGGAAGGCCCGCTGCGTCAGGCTGGGCAGGTCGTGGGCTCCGTTTGGAGGGCAGGGGTTGGCAGCCTTTCCCCGTGGAAGGGCACTGCCTGGGGTGGCCGGGCCGGGAAGTGGGGGACCCCGGTGCTGCTTTGCTTCTCAGACTCGCTGTTGGAGCGAGTGTGAAGAGGTGGGGCAGGTTCTGTAAGAAACAAAACAGCAAGTGAAGAGTAAGTGTGCAAAGTGGAGGCAAGGGAGGAGATTGTCTCAGCCCAGCCGGGCCCAGTGTCAGACCCTTTGAAAGCGGCCCCATAAACATGCTCACGCTTCTGTGCCAAACAGACCCAGCAGGGAGAGGAGGGCTTTTGTCTCCTGCCTCCCTGGGGTGGGAGCAGGGGCGCCCAGCAGGGAGGGGAGGGCTTTTGTCTCCTGCCTCCCTGGGGTGGGAGCAGGGGGCCTGCAAAGCGGGGTAAGGTAGCAGTGGGCGTTGCAGCAGAGAGTGGCTCCAGAGAGCTGTGGCTCTCAGGACCCTGGGGAGGGGCGGGGCCTCTCCTCCACGCCACCAGCAGAGAAGCTGGGAGCGCGGGATGTCGGGGGACAGAGTGGGTTAGAGTCCGACCTCGGGGTGCCTCCCCTCTCCGTGTCCTGTCCATGGCCCCCATTTCACTTTTCCTGGAGCCAGATGGCCCCAGGGTACGTGCACGTGTGGGCGTAGGTGTGTGCTGGAGGTCAAGCGCTAACTGGCTGCAGCGGGTCGGAGTGTCCTGACTTTATGGTTAAAGGCGGTGGTGTTTCTATTCCTGAGCTTAAAATAGGAGCCGTGGCTCTGTCTCCCCAGCCCCGCCTGTGATTTCACAGGGCCTGTCGGCCGCAGCTGTCGGTGCTACTCTAACTGGGGGCTGTTTGGTTTTCTCCCGTGATTATGTCATCCGAGTCCAAGTTGCACACACAGGAATAACTGGGGGGAAATCCAAGGGGACAGTCAGCTCACAGTTTTCCTCACCCTGACAACGCTCGGCATCCGCAGGAAAGTGGGCGGCAGCTGCTCACACACGGCTTTCAAAGGACAGCACTTGTCGCTGCCCTGGGAGTGTCACAGCCGGTGAGGGGGCAGCGTGGCCCCGACTTGAAGTCTCCTGTGTCATCGTGACTTTACAGTAACCTGCACGGTTAGCACGAACGGCCGCCTTTGTTTGTTACCATGTTGAAACGGCCTTGTCCAGGGCTTCAGCTCGGATTTGGATCCGACGAAGACGGTTTGGGGTCTGGAGCTGTTAGGACTGTGCCCTTTCCCCAGGGCTTCCGGTTGGTCGGAATCATCGGCGCTCTCGGTGCTTCACGTAACGAACCTCCTCCTCCTTCAGGTCCTTCACGGAGCAGCTCAGAAAGATCTCGAGAGACGCAGGAATGCCGATCCAGGGCCAGCCGTGCTTCTGTAAATACGCCCAGGGCGCAGATAGCGTGGAGCCCATGTTCAGGCACCTGAAGAACACGTACGCCGGCCTGCAGCTGGTGGTGGTCATCCTGCCCGGAAAAACCCCCGTCTACGGTAGGCCTCGGCGCGCGCACGGCCTCTGGCCGCTGCCGGTGGCGCTGTGGGTGTGCGGTGCCGCCTCAGCCCTCCGTGTCTCTACCGCACCGAGGAGCTGCCTGTCTCTGGCTCACTCGAGAGCTAGGAAAGACCGAGTGGCTTCTGATTGCGGCCGCGCACGTGCCCAGGGCCGCCCTTGGTAGTCTTGTCCGGGGCCGCGGTTCCCGGAGGCCGGCGTCCTGCGGTGGCACAGGACTCGACACGTGTGCGGTTACCTACTGCGCCGCCCGACGCAGACGTCAGCTGGATGGAGGAGCAGCCAGGCGGCGCACACGCAGTCACCCACTCGGGGCGCCGTCCTCAGCTCCGGCCTGGGACTCACTTCTCCACTTGTGAGCTGTGCCCGCCTCAGAATCCTCTGGAAGCTGATCAGAGTCCTTTCTGCCAGAAGGGCGGTTGCACTTTCACATGGCTGAAAGTTACCAGGCCCCTGTGATGGAGTCCCAGGCCCTGGGTTGGGAAGCTCTGGGGCGCTGGTGGTGTAGACAGGTGGCGGCGGCATGGGGAGGTGGGTGCCGGGTGCGTCTGCCGGAAGCCCTCTGGGGACCAGAGGCCCCAGCGCGGGAGGTGTGTGGGTGCCCCGGGGCAAAGGGAACAGGTGTGTCGGTGTCGCTGACTGGATCCCCCGTCCGGGCAGCGACGGAGCACTTGCTCCGTGTCCGGGGAAAGGAGGAAAGAGAAAGCCCTCGGAATTCCCATGCTACGCACGCATCTTCTCCCAGGCCCGCCCAGGGAGCGGCTGACCAGTTGCTTCACGAAAGAACCCGGGAGTAGAGGGGGTGTGGGCCCAGAGAGGTCTTGGATGTCGGATCTGCGTTTGCCGAGGGTGTGAGGATGCCAGTGTTTATATTTTTAACGACTCGGGCATTGGCTTGCTTGCAATCCTGAGCACCGTGACGGAGGGTGGCCTTCGGAATGCAAGCCCTGTCTTCCAGCCTGGCTCTGCCCGCACCGCCCTGCAGGCCTGGATCAGTCGCAGGAACGCTCCTGACAGGACTGGGCTGCACCCGCCCGGCCTCTGAGTGAGCGGGACACACGCCCCGCAGCGAGCGCAGGCCTGGGCGGCGTGGAGCAGAGCTGGGACCCGGGCTCGGACCCCTTCTTCCACGGGCTTGGCTACACGTGGGGCGGGCGGAGGGGAGGCGCCAGGGCAGCCGTCCTGAGCGCACCGTTCCCTCCGCAGCCGAGGTCAAGCGTGTAGGAGACACGGTGCTGGGGATGGCCACGCAGTGTGTGCAGATGAAGAACGTGCAGAGGACCACGCCGCAGACCCTGTCCAATCTCTGCCTGAAGATCAACGTCAAACTGGGCGGCGTGAACAACATCCTGCTGCCCCAGGGGAGGTGAGGCCGGCCTTCCGCCGCGTGTGCGCGGGGCAGCTGGTGCGCGACTCCCCAGCTGGGGGTGGGGGTGGGGCCCCGCCGGGGCCGGCATCCGCTTCCCTGGACAGTGGGGTGAAGGAAGTGAGTAGGACGCGGGTCTCGGATACTCTCGGTCCAGGGGACCAGGGCCATCTGCAGGCCACTGAGGACTGGGTGCAGGGGCCCGAGGAGAAGGGACTTCTTACCCCGTCCAGGGCCGGGGGTCCCACACGTGAGATGTGGTGGCTGCCCTGAGCGGGGGTGGCTCTGCCACGAGGGGTCGTTGGACTCGCTCAGTTCACTCAGCGGCAGGTTCTGTGTTTATTGAGCGCCTACTGTGTGCAGAAGCCCTAGCCTTCCAGCGCAGGCCCCGGTGAGAGGGTCCAGAAACGCACTTCCCAGGTGAGCAACAGTGACACAGTGGAAGGGACAGGAGCTCAGAAGGGTGAGGGTTTCACAGGGGAGGTGGCACTAAGCAGACTGCAGCCACTGGAGGGGGCGGGATCACGTGGGCGCCTGGGAGGAGAGCAGTCCAGAGGGCACAGGCCGTGCAAGGGCCCTGTGGTACAGCCTGCCAGGAGTGCGGCAGGTGTTCCACTGAGAGACTGAGGGGCAGAGGGCTGCTGGGGGGCCTGGCCCTCCCTCCGGGGGAGCGCATCCATGGGAGGGAGGTTCACGAGTGGAGGTGTAGCTCCGGTGACCTCGTTCTAAAAGGCGACTCCAGCTCCGGGTGGAGTGGGGACCGGGCCCTCCTGCGTTGTCCCAGGAGAGGTGCTGGGGCACGGCTGGGGCGGGATGGTCTGTGAATGGAAGAGGAGACTCGAGAGTAAGTCCGAGCCTGCGCCTCTGGGGCGGTTAGGCAGCAGTGGATGAGGAAGCTGGACTGTGCGTCAGCCTCCCAGGGGAGACACTGGGGGTGGGGGGGGGAGGGGAAACAGAGGCCTGGTGTTGGTGGGGTTTGTTCAGGGATCCTCACGTGGAGGTGGTATTTAAGGCCTCTAGGCTGGAGAGAAGCCCCAGGGCAGGATGTAGATAGGAAGGACATCCAAGCCCTCGGCCTGGGGAGTCCGGGGTTGGAAAGGCAGCACTGGGGCCTGGTGGGGTCGGGGGAAGAGCCAGTGCGTGGCCGTGTCACTCGGTGCCAACCGGCCAAGTGCGATGAGGTCCGAGGCTCCACCATGGGACTGGGGGACGTGTGCAGGTCGTCGGTGACCTTGCAAAGAGGAGTCTCGTTGCCATGGCAGCACGAGGCCTGCTTGGGAGGCAGTAGAGGGATCGGCTAATTCCGGGAGCTTTGCCACAAGGCGAGCAAGGGAAGTGAGGGAGCTGTGGGAAGAGAGTGGAGTCCGGAGGCAGGTGTGGTTCTGCTGGTGTAAGGTGTGAGTCATAACTGCATGTGTTGTGCTGCGATGCTCCCGGGACCCGTCCAGGATTGGGGGAGGGGGCAGCAGGGAAGAGCCACGGGGTGGGGGTGGGGGTGGGGGGCAGGCGCAGGGTGGGCGGGAGAGCACAGGCCGTCAGGGAAAAGAGGCGAGTGAGGCACAGAGAGAGGAAGCTCCAGGGCGCACAGCCGGTGAGACTGGGACCCGCCGGCCGGCTCGAGAGCTGTGCCCCCAACGCTGGCGCTTCAGGGTCGTGACCGCTGGGGTGCAGCCGGCGCTTAGAAGACCCAGGGAGAGAGTTTAGAGCAGTACTTCTCACCTGGGGCGGTGTCGCAGCCCTGGGAGTGTGTGGTCATGTCTGGAGGAGATGTAGGGGTGTCGGGACGGGGGCTGGCCTCTAACGGGTAGAGAACAAGGGTGCTCCTGGGCACCCTGCAGCGCGGCTGCAGGTCCAGGGTTGGGTAACAAACCGTGGGACTCTTTGTATGTATAATTATCTTGGAATTTTCAGCCGTCTACGTGGGTAGAACCCTCATGTCCCTGAGCCCAGCCACAGCAGCTGTCAGCACCTCGGCCCTCTCATTCAGTCTACACTCCACCTACACCCTCTTCCCCACCGCCTTATTCTGAAGCAGATCTCACACCAAGCATCTTTTCACCCATAAGGTTTCTGTACATGTGACTGAAAGATAAGGAGTCCTTACAGACACGGCCACAGTACCCTTAGCACACAAAGTAACGCTGGTGCCAGTACCCTGAGAGGTCCGGGCAGTGTCCCCGAGCCTTGGCCTCTGACGCTCCCGCATCCCCTCACAGGCCTCCGGTGTTCCAGCAGCCCGTCATCTTTCTGGGGGCGGATGTCACACACCCCCCTGCCGGGGATGGGAAGAAGCCGTCCATCGCCGCCGTGAGTATCACCTCCTGCCGGGTCCCGTTGGTCTGTGTTCCTGCGTGATCGGCATCTCCATGCTTCTTGGCCCTTTCCTTGTCTGAGCAGCATGAACAGTGCAGCAGGGTGGCCCCGTGGGGTCATGTCCCTGGCACTCACTGTCTGGTTCCCTCTGGGCGGCACCTGCGGGCGATTGGTTTCAGGCCAGCTTGCCTTTGGGACACCCGTCACTCTTAGGGGTCGGAATCTTGGAGTGTCGTGTGTAGAGGTGCACATGGCTTTGGGAAAACAGTGTGCTTGAAGGAATTAGGAACACTGTCACTGTCACTGTCGCCAGGTACCTTCTCTGGGCTGATGTAATTCAGCCACATCTAATCACAAGCAGAATTAGGGGTTCAGAACAATTGTTGATTTTCTTATTAGGTCCCTCGGGAAAACCTTTACTCTTTGGAACACGTTTATAAACGCTACAGCCACGCATTCAGAAGAATCGTAAAGGTGGTGGGTTTGCATGTGACGAGCCCTCTCCTGGACCCCCTTCACCCCTAGAGCGGGGGCCCTCGGGGCTCCTGCTGACCCGTGTTGCCCCGCAGGTCGTGGGCAGCATGGACGCCCACCCGAACCGCTACTGCGCCACCGTGCGCGTCCAGCAGCACCGGCAGGAGATCATCCAGGACCTGGCGGCCATGGTGCGCGAGCTTCTCATCCAGTTCTACAAGTCCACACGCTTCAAGCCCACCCGCATCATCTTCTACCGAGACGGTGTCTCCGAGGGGCAGTTCCAGCAGGTCGGCCGTCTCCCCCGCGTTTTCCCTGCCCTCTTCTCGGTGTCTTAAACTCCCCTGTTTCTCGGCAGGACGGCTCCTTGGGTTCGCTAATGAAGACGGTGGGGTGGGTTTTGTTTTGCCCCCGGGTTTACTGGTCCCCGTGTGGGCGGTACTGATGGACTTGGGGTTGTCAGGGGTCTGCTGCAGGTGGGGCGGAGAGGCCTGTCCAGGCGGACCCGGTCCAGAACACGCCAGCCAGGGGCCCTTCCCGGCTCCAGGTTTTGCCTTGTAGGCTGTGGGGGGTCTCTGTGGGGCAGGGACACCACTGTGGCTTGGGGGTCACCTCTGTCTGCAAAGGAGGGGGCGGGCCGGAGTGAGGAGAGCGCAGAGCAGGGTGAGGAAAGTGGCCGGGCGGAGGGTAGGTGGGAGCCCTTTGGAAATAGTCAGTAGGACGCAGCCACTGTTTGGACGTGGAGGGAGAGGCGGCACCTTAGGTGGCGTGTGGGGCATCGCCTTGAGGAAGCGTCCGGAAGGCAGGGGAGCCTCTTGGACACCGGGGCACTGGAGGAGGGGCAGGTGAGGACCAAAGGGGGTGTGTTGCTGTGCTCCAGGTGAAAGCACCCGCAGCACCTCCAAGTCGAGGGGAGTGTGGGCAGCGGCGGATCCATCTGACCCTGGAACTCGGGGGTTGATGCCCTGCGTGTGTCCATGCTTGGCCAGGGCTAATGCCACCTCCACCCCTGCCGCGTCTCCAGTGCACGCTTCGTCGAGAGACAGTAGCGGGGAAGGCAGAAGTATCCGATGCTGCAGGAGACCCACCCAGACAGAAAGACATCCTAAGAGGCACTCCAGTGTGTCCCAAGGCCCCAGGCCACCCTGCTAGGCAGGTGGGGTGGCACGTGACCAGGCACGGGTGCCAGTGCCTTCCTGGTCCAAAGTAGGAGCAGCTGAGGCCACAGCGGGCGAGGGGGGTGGCTTGAGGTTCCTTGACCGTCTGGTAGCTCTTGGCCAGGGCCCCTGATTCAGAGCTTCTGTGGGAACCTGGGTTGGGGGTTCCTGTGCCGCCTCTCGGGTCCAGATCCAGCTTGTGCCAGCCGGCCTCGAAGCCCCTCTTATACAAAACCGTCTGGTTCCCTCCGTTGGGAGATGTTCTCCCCTCTTCTGAGCACCCGTTCACCCTCTGTCATGGGCATTCTTACTACAGAAGAGGGTTTGTGTCATCCTCCGTTTTCTCTCTCGGTGAACGCACTCCACATCTTACAGAATCACCACAATGGGGTTTCTGGACCCAGAACCCAAGACATATTTTTGAGACACATCGCAGCACAATATTTGACAAGGGCAGTTGCTGAAACCTGAGGTGTGTGGTCCCTGTAGCAGCCATCAGCCCCCGTGCCGGGCTGTGTGCCTGTTCATCTCTGCCACAGGTGGGGGAGCAGAGACAGTGCCAGCATCCTTGTACCCTAACTCCTGGCGCTTCGCAGGTGACTTTAGTCTTCACTGCAAGCTTGCAAGGTGGGATGTTCCCATTTTAAAACTGAAAAAACTGGGGATCAGACAGGGTGCATGGCTTTCCAGAGCCACACGGTTGCTTAGTGGTAGAGCTAGGATTTGACCTCAGGTCCAGCTCCTAAGCCAGTGGGTTTTTGGGTTTTTTTGTTTTGTTTTGTTTTTTACTAGATTCTCTCCATCTTCTCCAATCCAAAAACAAGCTGCTGGATTGATTTGTTCATGTGTGTGTTTCCCACAGTGCCTCATGTCCACGGTGGGTGGTAGCACTTAGAACATTCCAGAGCCTGCGCTCAGCCTGTTTCTCCGTTATCTAACCTAAAACATTTAACCACGAAACCTGGGTATCGTTTGCTCCATGATATTATTGAAGAAACAGGCTCAGAGAGACAGAATCACACAGGTAACAGCAAGCTAGTGGAACTACAAGCCTTAACGTAAACATGTATCAAACATACACATGATTAAGGGATTCATTCCAAGATAGCGAGAGGCCTGAAAACATAATAATGATCCTCAGAAGTGTTCTCCTTGGGCTCCCCTGGTGGCGCAGTGGTTGAGAGTCCGCCTGCCAACGCAGGGGACGCGGATTCGTGCCCCGGTCTGGGAAGATCCCACATGCCGCAGAGCGCCCGTGAGCCACGGCCGCTGAGCCTGCGCGTCCGGAGCCTGTGCTCCGCAACGGGAGAGACCATGACAGTGAGAGGCCCGCGTACTGCGAAAAAAAAAAAAAGTGTTCTTCTTTCTTTCCATAGGTTCTTCACCACGAGTTACTGGCTATCCGAGAGGCATGCATTAAGCTAGAAAAAGACTACCAGCCGGGGATCACGTTCATAGTGGTCCAGAAGAGGCACCACACTCGGCTGTTCTGCACCGACAAGAACGAGCGGGTGAGTGTCCTCGACCCTGGGCTGTGCAGCCTCGAGGGACACGGGTCTCACGCCCTGCACCACCTCCCAGGCTCTTGGGAGACCCGGCCCTTCGTGGCGACACAGCCTGAGACGTTGGAGAAGGGCTCTCCTCAGTTTGGTGAGAAGTTTGAACCTGCAAACCCCACAGGTCCAGGATAGGTCCAGGCAGATGTCATTTATCCGATAAGGAAATTACCAAAGGTGAGGTTTCAGGGCCAGTTAGCAACCATGGTCATAGACAGCATAGTGTAAAGAACGCGGGAGAATGCAGTAAAGTGGGGAGCCCACGGGGTGGTTGGAGTGCTGGAAGAGGGCCTGGGGAGCTCACTCAGGGGTCTGGTCTGGAGAACACTGACAGACAGCGGTGTCCAAGCTCCTCATCCCTCTCCTGGCTGCTCCAGAACAAGAACCACGAGCATGCAGGAGACTTAAGACTTGTAGTGGTAACTGCTGAGAATTGTCCACAGTTGGAGAAAGATCAGAACCCTTAGGTTAAAAGGCCTCTCCTGTTCCCAACAGGATAAATAAAAATAAATCCATACCTAGACACATTGTCCTAAAACTGCACAGCGTCAAAGTAACTGCATGAGATAAAAGACCTCCCAGAAGGGAAGGACATTCCATCAGACTGTCCGCCAGCGGGGCTGGAAGCCGGGCGTTAGTGTCCACGTGGTGCAGCCCACTAACGCCACAGTGGCACCACAGCACCGAAAATGCTTCTTGCCTAAATGGAAGACAAAATGCAAATTGAGAGTCAATAGCGAGGAAAAGGGGTACTTTGTCATGATCACCGAGAAGACAGAACAGCTGTGACGTGGATGTACCTCACGCCATGACCTAAAAATATGTAAAGAAAAAAAGTAAAGCAAAAACAGGCAGAATTTTAAGGAGAAATTGACAAACACACCATCAAAGAGGCCTGTTTTAACAGCCACCATCAGAAAGTGAAACAGGGACACGTTAGTAGAAACTGAAAATGGGAAGAAAGGAATGAGCCAGACCTGACAGACAGAACTCTGCCTGTGACAGCTGAGCTCACGCTGAGGGCTTACAGGAGCTGGCGTTGTCCCAGGTCACAAAAGAGGTCTCAGGAGATTGCCAAACCTCAGTATTCTACAAACCACATTTTTTTAAAAAAAATAATTTATTTTGGGGGGGGGCTGCACTGGGTCTTCGTTGGTGCACGCAGGCTTTCTCTAGTTGCGGCGAGCGGAGGCTACTCTTTGTTGCGGTGTGCGGGTTTCTCATTGCGGTGGCTTCTCTTGTTGTGGAGCACGGGCTCTAGAGTGCTCAGGCTTCAGTAATTGTGGCATGTGAGCTCAGTAGTTGCAGTGCACGGGCTCTAGGGCACGTGGGCTCGATAGTTGCAGTGCACGGGCTCTAGGGCACGTGGGTTTCAGTAGCTGCGGCGCTTGGGCTCAGTAGTTGTGGCTTGTGGGTTCTAGAGTGTAGGCTCAGTAGTTGTGGTGCATGGGCTTAGTTGCTTGACGGCATGTGGGATCTTCCCGGACCAGGGCTCGAACCCGTGTCCCCTGCATTGGCAGGCAGATTCTTAACCACTGCGCCACCAGGGAAGTCCCCAAACCACATTTTCTGTTACGTAGGAAAAAGCGTAAGAAAACTTAAAATTTTGATTTCAAGCCCACTGCAGGGCTTCCCTGGTGGCGCAGTGGTTAAGAATCTGCCTGCCAATGCAGGGGACACGGGTTCGAGCACTGGTCCGGGAAGATCCCACATGCCGCGGAGCAACTGAGCCCACGTGCCACAACTACTGAAGCCCGCATGCCTAGAGCCCGTGCCCCGCAACAAGAGAAGCCACCGCGATGAGAAGCCCTCACACTGCAATGAAGAGTAGCCCCCGCTTGCTGCAACTGGAGAAAGCCCACACACAGCAACAAAGACCCAGTGCAGCCAAAAATAAATAAATAAATGTATTTATTTAAAAAAAAAAAAAAGAAAGAAAGCACTGCATTAAAAATGTAAAGAGAATAATCAATTGTGAAATGATTAGAAATGAACGAAAACGAGAATTTCATATCAAACCTCGTGCAGTGCACCAAAGCAGCCATTTGCAGGTTAGAGCGTAGACGCAGGCGCTTCTGTTGTGAGACCAGAAAGAGAGCCACGAATAAGCCTGAAGCGACAGGAAGGATGTCAGTCCCAGTGGTCAAGGGAAAGCTGAGGAGTTGGTGTGCATAGGCCCCTTGCCACCTCAGCCTGCAGACTTCTCTTGCCAGGAGTCGGGAGGGCTCAAAGTCAGCTTATTCCAGCACCCCACTTTCTCTCTCAGAATAGAAAATCGTGAACTAGAAAATGAAGAAGCAATAGAGCATATTAACGCAAGCAAAAGGTACTTCTCTGAAGATAGATAAACCCAGCAAGACTCAACAAAAAGAACACTTGTAATTACGTTGGGAACAGAAGGGGAACAATGGCTGCAGAGGGAGTGTGTGTTATTTGAATCATAATGGAATGATAACAACTTCATGACAACACATTGGAAAACTGAGAAGAAACAAACACTTGTTTGTAGAATTACATAAGTTACCAAAATCAGCTGAGTAAGATAGTCCAGTCATTGTTCCAAAAGGCATCAGGCCCAGAGAGTTTTACAGGCAAGCTTTACTAAGGCTTCAAGAATAGATTACCTTAAAGTGTGGCAGAGCATAGGAAAAAGGGGGAAACGACTTAGCTTATTTTATGAAGTTAGTCCAGAGATTTTTACAGGCAAGCTTTACCAGACCTTCGAAGAATAATGTTGTATGAAGTATTTCAGAGAACGGGAAAAGTCGGGGGGACTCACATTATGAGGTTAGCCTGATAAATACCAAATGTCAAGGATGTGGGTGCCGTGATGAGGAGCAAAGGGTCTGGAGCCGGATAACCTGGCTCCAACCCACCCCCTCAGCATCCTGGCTGCGTGACCACAAGCTGTCAGCCCCTCTACCCCCGACCGCCTTCTGAGGGTGCTGGGAGGGTTCACGGGGCTCACACGCAGAGCACTCAGCACAGAGTAAAGGCATTGTTATGAAGAGGACTCTCCTACACTCCAGACGGGAATACAAATGGGCAACCAACTTGGAACGCTGTTTGGCAATTCTAGAGATCTACCCTGGAGGAACTCACACACTTGTGTACAAGAAGACATGTATTCTGTAAGAATATTCTGGCAATATTGTTTATAGTAGCAAAAAATTAATCTGTTAACAGCAGAAAAGGTGGTAATGTATTTATATATTGGCACTTATACAGCAATGAAAAATAATAAACTATATCTACCAAATGACTACATCTCAAAATTGTAATACAGAGCAAAAACAGAAAGTAGCAAAACATAGGATACATGTATACAGTTTTGTTTTTTTAATAAATTTATGTATTTATTTTACTTATTTATTTTTGGCTGCACTGGGTCTTCGTTGCTACGCATGGGCTTTCTCTAGTTGCGGTGAGCAGAGGCTACTCCTCGTTTTGGTGCGCCGGCTTCTCATTGCAGTGGCTTCTCTTGTTGTAGAGCACGGGCTCTAGGTGCACGGGCTTCAGTAGTTGTGGCTCGCGGGCTCTAGAGTGCAGGCTCAGTAGTTGTGGCACATGGGCTTCGTTGCTCCATGGCATGTGGGATCTTCCCAGACCAGCGCTCAAACCCATGTCCCCTGCATTGGCAGGCAGATTCTTAACCACTGCACCACCAGGGAAGCCCCTACAGTTTTAAAATCTGCAAAGTAACACAATATAGTGCTAACGGAGACCTAAATGTGTAGCAGAGAATAAAAGTATGTGTAGGAATAATAAAGTCTAGATTTGAGACTGCAGCATGGAAGGGATACAAATGTAGGCACTCTTTTCAAATATTTTACTTATTTTAAAAATCTGGGACTTCCCTGGTGGTGCAGTGGTTAAGAATCCTGCCTGCCAATGCAGGGGACACGGGTTCGATCCCTGGTCCAGGAAGATCCCACATACTACGAAGCAACTAAGCTCGTGCGCCGCAACTACTGAGCCTGCATGCCTACGGCCCGTGCTCCGCAACAAGAGAAGCCACCGCAGTGAGAAGCCCACGCACTGCAACAAAGAGTAGCCCCCGCTCACCACAACTAGAGAAAGCCCGCATGCAGCAACAAAGACCCAACGCAGCTATAAATAAATGAACAAATAAATACACAAATAAATAATCTGAAGGTATAAAAAAAGGTTGAGAAGAAGTAAAAACACACACACATCTGCAGGTGCAGAGGGGTTACACTGGAGATTCTCTTTTTTGTATGTATATTTGAAATTGCACGAGTAAAAAAAAAAAAATCAATCAGTGACTTCGTGACTGATTGGGAGTTTTGCTGTTTCAGTAGCGTAGCTGGATGTTTGGTGGTTTTTCGATGCTAGAGTGTAAACTGAGAGTTAAGTGGTTTGGTAGAATTTGTAGTCCCTCCCACACCCCAGCTCCTTGGATGGCCTCTGGTGGAGCAACCCGCCCTCCCTGGTGGTGGTGATTGAACCCCTGGTAGAGTGGGGAAGTTCTTGACAGCTGTCAGGGTTTTCTAGCTCTTCTGCCTTGAGTAGTGTGTGTGTGTGTGTGTGTGTGTGTGTGTGTGTGTGTGTGTGCGCACACGCAGGCGCACATGGGCAGGTGACGGCTGTCACGTGTCCGTCGTCTGGTCTTAGATTTGTTATGTCGGTGACAGTTTCCATCTTGGCCTCAACAATAATGAAGACCCTTCACGTGGCCCACGCACATGCTTCAGTGAAGGGAAGACTCTGCATTTCCCTCAGGGGCCTTTATGAGATGGCGAAAAATAACCCCAGCCCAAAGAGAACAGGAATTAATTTGATTTCAGTTGTTAGTATATGTTAAATTTTAATGCCATGGCACTGAGCAAATGTATTGGCCAATTTAAAGACGTCAGAGCAGAAGGCAGTGCGGCTGCGTCTTGCCTGCTTGCCTGCTTGCTTTGCCCTGTTGTCCCCTGGGCGTGTCTAATGGGCTCCTGTGTTGCTGAAGGTGGGGAAGAGCGGAAACATTCCAGCAGGGACGACCGTGGACACAAAAATCACCCACCCGACCGAGTTTGACTTCTACCTGTGTAGTCATGCTGGCATCCAGGTAAGGACAGAGGGTCCACTTTGCACAGTCTTGGTTGGTGTCTCTGGGGTGTCGTCCACACATTCGGCAAACACCTGCAGAGCACAAACCTTGTGCCAGGTGCTCCCGTGGGCACTGGGGATGTGGTGGTGAACAGCACGGATGGGGCGCCAGTCCATCCCAAGGGGACGCAGGCGGTTGACCAGTGAACCGTGGAGGCCGAGAACCATCAGGTGTTGCGGATGGAGGACCCACTGGGGTGCTGTGCTGGGCCGGGAGTGGGTTCCCATTTTAGCCGAGATGAGGTCCAGGAAGAAGGAGCAGTGAGCGTGAGGGCCAGGCAGGCTGGCGGGGACAAGTGGCGTCCCTGTGTGCTTGGAGTTCGGCGAGCTGGATGGGGTATGAGAGGTGACGGAGCGGCGGGGTCAGCCTTGCGTGCCCGCCACACACGGGCACTGGTGTGCGGGGAAGGTCAGCACGTGGCATTCCTTGTCCCTCCCGGCGAAGAGACCCACAGCTTTGCCACAAGTGATTCTGAGAGGATGCTGCCACCTCAGAGGTGCCACGTCCAGCGCACCTGTTGTCAGAGCTGAGCCACCAGCATCTGCGAGGCTGTGCCCCTTGGGACAGGAGGGACTTAGCTCTGGGTGCCCGTCCTGCTTCACCACAGAGGGGCTTTTGGGTGTTTCAAGTTATAAGTGAGGACTTAGATATCCATCCCCAAGGGATTTGAACTTAAACTTGGAGGGCTTGCCGTAAACTTTGTACTTCTGCCACGGGAAATACACCTGCACGTCCTTCACGTCACCGTGGCTCTAGAACAGGACTTGGCAAACTGGCCCGTGGGCCGCACCCAGCCTGCAGCCTGTCAGGGTGCAGCCTGAGGGCTGAGCCATGTGTACATTTTTAAAGGTTGTTAAAAAGGAAGAAGAGGAACGTGGCTCAGAGAGGACGGAGGCTTCCGCAGTGTTTCCCGGGCACGTCTGTCCCCGCGATGGCTTCCGTGTCGGGCGGGCGCTTTTTCTGTGCAGGCCAGCCCGGCTTCCCTCCTGGTGGGTGGAGCCCTCCCCCCCCCCCGCCCCCCGCCCCGGGGCCTCTGGTTTGTTTAAGGGGTAAACCTGCCTCCCTGCATTTTCTGCACAGGCACTTTCTAATGGGGGAAATCTCGCACTGGAGACGTTTAAGTGCTTTGACAAAATGGGCCTCAAGGGGTCCTGCTCTGCTGTGGTTGCCATGTCCTCGGCACACCCTCTGATACAAAATACCCCACTGCCCGCAGGCCCGCGTGACAGCCACCGATTAAATGCTGAAAGTGGGGCGCAGAATGTGTGCTTCATCAGAGGATAAGAGCGTCTGCCGCTCACCAGTCTCCGGGGGCCTGAACACAGACAGAGAGTCAGGAAGGGCCTGCTTGTTGGCTGGCTTGGGTTGAGTGGCAGGGAAGGCAGGTGGGGAGAAGCCAGAGAAAGGCCCTTCCCTCAAGCGCGCTCCTGGCTGACCCGTCATGGGTGCCCCGGCGAGCAGTGCAGCGGCTCTGCCGGCACCTGAGCCCCGGCAGGCATGGGCCAGGCGACCAACCCCACCTCCTTCAGTTTTGAAAGATTCCACACCGCACAAAATAAATATGTGTGCAAACTCCCATTTTAAAGGCGTTAATATGTAACTTATTAGAGATTTCTTCTTGCCTTTATAAATAAAGCATTGTAGAAAACCTAGTATGTACAAATGACATTATCCTCCAAACAACCATCTCTGTATTATATCTTTCCTATGAGTTTTCTCTACACAAATAATTGTGTGTATAGTCTGTTATTTTACCAGTAGGGGGTCATAGAATATGTGGCTCTGATGCCCGTTTATAATGATACATAGTAGGATAATATAAATACCTTCTTGCCACTGAACGTCCTCCCACTGTATCCTCTGTGAAGGATTCTACCGTGGGGTGGAAGCACAGCTTCTCTCGGCAGCACCCTTTGCAGGTGAGTTCTGGACTTCTCTCTTGCATGTTTACCTCTCTGACCCTCTGATCTGCTTTTAGGGAACAAGCAGGCCTTCCCACTATCACGTGCTTTGGGATGACAATCGTTTCTCTTCCGATGAGCTGCAGATTCTCACCTACCAGCTGTGTCACACCTACGTGCGCTGCACGCGCTCCGTGTCCATCCCGGCGCCAGCATACTATGCTCACCTGGTGGCCTTCCGGGCCAGGTACCACCTGG